CTCATACATATATATATATAATATAATATATATATATGATATGATAAATTTAAATATTGTGTGAGGCATACTATGAGTCATAATTCTCCCCGTATTTGTACGTGTGATCCTTGGACGTGGACGGCGAGGCGTCATTGCCAGTGCTTTGGCTTCTTCCTTAGAGAAGTCAGGCGTCGGTGCCTCAGGTGAATAAAAACTCTGTCAAGTCTTGAGTGAATCCTTCTCAATCCTTTTCATATGGGTAGCTTTATGAATCATATTTAGGGTTGAATATGACACATTTTTGAGTGGCTGGGTTCAATGCCAATCCCCATCCTTAGCTATTTTCAGGTGCAGGATGTGCGCCTGATTCTTTTCAAGGATGGATTGCTCCTACCAGAACCATCGGAGGCGCAGAAATCGTTCGGGCCCCGGGTGCTCTCCCAGAGATTCAATCGATGTTGCGCACAGGAGGAAGGAGATGAGTGGTGGGGCGGTGCTACAGAGGCACCCAAAACTGAATCATTAATTATTTCTCAAGCTCGTAATGTCTGTTAGTTTCTGAAGATTCATAATTTCTGTAACTTTGAGCACATGCGCACAGGCAGTTCTCTTCACAGCCAGTGCTTGCGGTGCGGCCAAGTGGGCAAAGGAGGAGCGGCGCCGTTTGCGGAAGAAAGGTTGGGTCCTTGGGTAGATTCATGAAAGAATCTCAGTCGCAAAAAGCAGAGTCAAAAACGATAATCTTCTGTTGTCTTTGGTATCGCAATCTTGAGCCTTTACAATTTCCACCCCCTTGGATACTCCAGGTGCTGGCAGCACATGAGAGTGAATCAAATCCGAAGTACAGTTAGTAAGAGTACGTTGGACATTTTCCTATTGGCATGTGTTGCATTTGGATTTTCAAGAGCTGCGCATCTCACCCTTGGAGTATTTTGGTGTGACCTTCGGATCTCTTTTTTGCAGCTTCGAGTGTAGTTCCCACAAGCGGGGTTGAGGCGCCCTCCGGCAACTGCGAGAAGATGAGGCCCATGGACCGCATGTTGCCTTGCTGGGTGAAGCCCTGATTGGCTCAGGATGAAGTGGAGGACATGCAGATGCGTCTGTTTTGGGAAGAGGCAGGTCACAAGTAGCGGGAAAATCCAGAGACACTACAAGATTGGCTGATGCAAACAGATGTCACATCTATCGAATATTTCACCTCCACTTTCCAGGTAGGAGCTGCAAGAAATTTTGCGTCGGCACTGTTTTGCCCATCAACACAGCGGAGTGTACGCTGTATCTGTGCAGGGGGCAAAGCCCGGACACCTGCAGCAGCTGGGACCAAAACGCTTTGCGGTGGGGAACTCAAAGATGTGGCCTTTATATGCCTTTATATTGTCTTTTGCTGCAGCGTTTTGTTCTCTGATCAGGGGACACAAAGTATCATGCATTCCAGTGCTGAACAAAAGTTTAAGTAGATCATCTACATTTGCACACTGCACTTTCTCTGGCAGACGTTCCGACCCATTGCAAGGAGTTGGCGAACACCACCGGCCGCAAGGCGACCTGGGGCGCATTTTTTGAAGCAAAAAAATCAAAACAAGATGCCGATGGATGCCGATGCCGTTTCCTCCGACTTCTCTATGCCTGATGTGCCAGTGTACTTTGCCAGGTTGAAATCTTGCGGTCCTTGACAAAAGGAGCCAAGGGTGTGCTGGACTTTCAGGCCAATGTGATGCTCTTCAACACAGAATGCAGTGTTAAAGTTGTTCTAGGATGTCCTAGGAAAGGTTCAAGGAGAGCTCAAACAGGGCCGAGAGATGTTGCTATTGTGGCCGGTGTGAGCTTTAGACAGTGCTAGGGTTGCGCTGCTGTAGTGGGAGTGCAGGGAACCCCAGCGAAACAATAAGATTCTGGGATCGAATTCAATCCTACGATCGCATCACAGTAAATGGTATGCTACCCATGCGACAAATGAACACGTTCACAGAGTAGCAGTGAAACATCAGAACAATCTTGAAATTTTCTCTTTCGCCTACCAAGGGAATCCTCAAGGCCAAAGGCGGCGCGGCACGTTCGTTTGTTGAATAGCTCACCTGGCAATGTGCCGGAAGATGTCCTGTTTTAGTTTCGATGGTGAATCTATTTGTCTTAGCTGGTAGAGTGCTGCTTGAGAAGATTCAAGTTGGCACAGCAATACTGTACCACCCTGCCAAAGAGCAGGGAGCAGGGGATGGACCAGCTCGGTATGTCTCGATTCGAGGATTGGTTCAAAACGTTCCATCAGTGCCTCGCATGCTGAACTTTCCCTGACCCAATCGTTGGCTCAGGTATTCTTGGTGCAGCAGGGTGGGACCTGCGTAAATGTTGGATTGCATCATTGATCATATCTTACCACCCTGGTGCTCCGCCGGTTTGCTCCCCGAACTGTCTGACTCACTCCAGGTTCGTCAATATTCAGCAGGTGTGGGTGTGTGGCAGATTAGACCGGAGACTGGCAACTGAGCTATCTATGTCATTCTGGGACACTGTGGCCTCAAACTCATCAGGCTCTCAATTCTTTGTTTCCTTGCATATCTTTCATGAGCATTGTTTCTCTTCCTTTTGTTTGGTTCCTAACTTTCTCCTACCACCTCTTGCAAGAATCCGCTTGGGTGGTCTTGACTATCTTGACTATCCTCCCTCTCTAATATATTATTCGACTGGTAAGGATCGTTGTCATTAATTTCCATACTGAGACGCATATTGATATTTACAAATAGATGTCTGTTCATAGTGATATCTATGAATATTTACATTATTTTACATTCATATTCATAGTCAGATTCTCTAAAAAATCATCTTATCACGAATCTATTTCCGTGCGCTCAGCAAACTTTGGCCCTGCGTTCAGGCAGGTGCACCAGCACCAGCGCCTGCAGCATCGCCTGCATAAGGCCCATATCGCCTGGGCGAGATGCCTGAGATCTTAGGGAGAGAGTCGGCCCAAACGGCCATCCATCACGGCTCATGTTACATGTGGACTTGTATGAAGTTGTATGAACGTGTGCATCCTCACAATATCATCAATATCTCACAATTGTGTGTGCAAAGTTGCTCTATGCACTTTTTCCACAATGAACATTCTCGCATTCTCGTTGTTTGACCAGCCGAAGGTGTGCCTCGATGTGAATTTGTGACGCAGTACAGGCGCACAAAACAATGAGCGATGCGCGGTATGCTGGTTGATGACTCCAGATGGTTTGACGAATTCAGTGCGTGAATATGTTCGGTTGTACATGTATTACATGTGAACTCTCTGTAAAGATGTGGAACTTCTACATTCTGTCATCTCGTTTCTCATCACCAGGGAAGCAGGGCTGGATACTCCAAGCAACAAAGCTTTTTGCATTTTGTGATGATTTCCACATGATCTCAATGCGTGAACACTATCACTTCAGCATAAGAGGCCAAGATTTGTGGAGCAACAGCTATCAACAGCTTTTGGTTGATTGAAGCTGGAAACTTCTTCGCATGCAGCCAAGGGCTCACCCTGAGCTGGATCGCCCAACATCCACATTGACAACCGGACAATGTCCAAAGTATGATCATGTCTCAAAATCAAGCTGAACAGCTCCACTTCTGAGGTGCCTAAATCAAACCAAAGTGAAGCAAACTTGCTAGGGTTGGAGGGTGACAACGGTTCCTGTGGAGCTACTCTGCAATGTGTTGATGAATGTTGATGATTTTCGCCTGAAATAGCTTGCAGAAGCTTTGTGATTCTGACCTTAGCCTTGAAACATCTTGAAACCACTGGTGTGACAGCATCTCCGAGCACAAATTGCTCATAGACGGCTGCAATGCCTGGCTGTAGAGATGAGCCAAAAGGTGGCTGGCAGATTTTCTCCAGTTGAGCCTTGCTCTCAGAAAAATTCAACTTTGTGGAATCAGTGGTGGCGACACCAGTGGCAAGAGCTTTCCTTCGGAGGTTGTGCACACTTCTGGTTG